GGTTTCTGCTGAATAATCTGAGCTTAGTCTTACTGTTTCTCCTCTGTATGTGACTTTTTTTCTTCGAGCTCTTCTCAGGATTCTGTTTATCTTTGGTTTTAGTGAGTGTGATTATGATAATGCCTTGGTGATTTTCTTTTGGGGGTCTATCCTGTACTGGGTACTTTGAGCTTCTTGGATGGTCAGCTTTTCATCTTTTGTGATACTGGGGGAAGTTTTCTGTCAGCAATTCTTCAATGATCCTCTCTGTTTTCTCCCCGTTCTGTAACTCCGATCACTCGCAGATTTTTGCTTTTGATTATATCTCACATAATTCTCAGGGTTTCTTCATTCTTTTTTCTGATTTTTCCTCAAGTGTTTGTCTTTAATTTCGCTGATTCTGTCTTTCACCATTTCAAACCTGCTCCTCAGCCCTTCTATGACACTGTCCATTTCTGAAATCTTGTTATCTTTTGGATTTCTAATTGTTGTTTTTGTATGATTTCTAGTTGTGGATTTATTTTTATTGTAGAATTTTGTTCCTGTATTATTTTCTTGAATTCTTCCATTTTTTGTCTGTATATTTTCCATGAATTTGTCTACTTTTTTCCTCATTTTTGTCTGCTTTTTGCTTCAACTCTTGTATAATTCTGAATATTAGAGATTTGAATTCCCTATCAGGTAGCTCTAGTCCTTTTCTTCTACTGGAAAGTCATCTGGTGTTTTATTTTGGATGCCTACTGGAACCATCCTGTCCTGTTTTTGTGTATGTTTTGATATTGTCTGCTGTCTTTGGGGCATTCAGTAGTTATCTTCCTTGTTTACTGGTTGTAGATTCGTTTGTTTTGTCCTGCTTTTTTATTTGGTTATGTCTGAACAAGTGGGCTGTGCATTCTTTCTTGTTTGCTCGTCTGTGGGCACGATACTTTTCACCTCCTTCTCTAATGGGCAGGGTCAGTCACTCAGGTATGGTACAGCAGGGCAGGTACAGCTAAAGGGGAGTTGCTGGGATGTGCTGTTTGTGGCACGTACTAGGGCTGACAGGGTAGACCGGGAATCAGTGCAGGGCAGGTTCTGGTAGGCTGTGCCTGTGCTGCTTGAGGGTGTGATGTTCAGCACACAGTGCAGGTAGGCAGGAAGGAGGGGGGAGATTGTGATGTGTGGAGCTAAGATGGGTATGGGAAAGAGGAGAGAGAGCAACAGGAGCCAAAAACATACACACAAAGAATGCTAAGGGAGCTTGCTATTGGAGTGGAGAGATGAGAAACTGAGCAATGGAGAAAAACAAAAGTGAAAAAAAAGAAAAAGGGTAAAAGAAAAAAAAATTGAGAAACTAGAAATGAAAAAAGACAAAAAGGGAAAAAGAGAGAGAAAACAAAACAAACAAACAAACAAAAAAAAAACAGGAAAAAAGAAATGTCCCCAGGGATGTCACTGTGTGTCTGCGCAGAGTAAGGGAGTATCTCCCAAGCTGCGTGGCACTGTCCAGCAAGAAGGGGCTCCCAAGCCGAGAAAAGAAAAAGAAAACAATCAAACAAACAAATCAAAAGAGAACAAATCAGAACAAACAAACACACAACCAAAAAAAAAAGCCCCGGGAGTCCCACCAGCGGGGCGGCACGGGCCGGGAAGTAGTTCCACAGTCGAGCAGCACCTTGCAGCCCCCCAGGAAGAAGCAAAGATGGCCATGGAGCCAGGTATTTGAGAGAAAGGAGAGGGAGGCAGTGAGAGGTAAGGAAGAAACGTAATGAAGCGGAAAAAAGCAACACCAGCAGCCAACAAATGGCACTCAGGGAGCTGCCCAGTACGGTAAGGTGGAATCCAAGTGACACTGGGGTGAAGCCGGGGCTTCCTGGCCAAGAGACTGTGGCTGCAGGAAGCAGAGGAGGCCAAGTGGGGGTGGGAAAGCATATATCGTTGGTTACCGGTTGTTCTGTCTCCTGCTGGAAGCTCCGTGGAGCTCCTTTCTCATACTGTGTTCGCTGATCTCTGATAGGAGTCCAAGATGGTGGATCCGTGCTGTGGTAGCTGATCGTGGACCTCTGCATGTGTATCTCCTTGCTCTCTATTCTCGGTCAGTTTCTTACTCCATTTGGTGCTTGGCTAAGTACTTTATCTCTTCATTTGATGCTTAGGGTTTCATGACTAACACGTGACTCTGTTTGACTTAGTTTTTCGGATCTTTGCTGTGGAGGAACAGCATGGTGCTTCTGACTATAGCGCCATGTTGCCCAGAAGTCCCAAAACTGCTTGTTTTTTTGACATAGAAATTTAATTCCTAGAAATTACTCTCAGGAAATAATCATGGACATGCACAAAGATTTATCTACAGAAAGTTCACTATATTACTATTTATAAGAGTGATAAATTGGAAACTACCTTGTGTTCCATAAAGAGGGGACTACCTAAATAAATAATGGTACATTCATATAACCAGTACCAATGTAGCCACCAGAGACAATACATATCTACCCTATATTTACTGATATCCACAACATATTACCTCAAAAAAAATAAGCTTCTAATTATGTAGTCTACTTTTTGGTAAAAATTTGTACATAAATATTTTCATTTAAAGTATATGCAATCATAAAAACATTTCTAAGACTAAAATGCTGAAATGCAAGTAGTGGTTATCGGTAGATAGTAGGATTACAAATGACTATTTTCTTTACCTTTTCTTGTATTTTATAATGTTTTTGCACTCCTTTCATGATCATTTTTTTGAAAGTCCCAAACATTTGGGAAGCTTTTTTCCCCTTTGACTGATTATGTGAAAATGCAAACAATAAACGTAACATTTTACTCATTTGTGAGACTACGTACCTGTCAGATAAATTTCTAGAAGCAGAATTGCTGTGCTGACAAATGGTAAATGTATTTAAATTTTAGTTGCTGTTGTTAGCTGCCGCTGAGTCAGTTCCAACTCATGGCAACCCCGTGTGTGCAGAAAAGAATGGTGCTCTATAGGATTTTCAAGGCTGTGACCTTTCAGAAGTAGACTGCCAGGCCTTTCTTCTAAGGTGCCACTGGCTGGGGTCAAGCCATCAACCCTTCTGATAGCGGCGGAGCACTTAATGATCTGTGCCACTCAGGGACGCCTTTGAAATTTTTAACTCTCGTTGCCGTCGAGTTGATTCTGATTCACAGAGACCTTATAGAACAGAGAAGAACTGCCCCAAAGGGGTTTCCAAGGAGCAGCTGGTGGATTTGAATAGCTGACCTTTTGGTTAGCCAAGCTCTTAACCACTGTACCACCAGGGCTCCAACTTAAATTTTATAGATACTTCTAAATTGTGGAAAGCTTCATGAAACAAGACAGTCCACTCTACATAAAACAAATAAGTGAGGCTTTTTTTGGAGGAGGTGCAAATCACACTTAAATACTGTCATTCCTCAGGGCTGTACCCTAGGCCCTCCTCCCCCTTTACACACCCACGGGCAATCTTACTCCCATGGCCTCATTAACTATCCATGTGTTCAGTCCTTCTGTTAACTTTAGCCTAGGTCTCTCATTTTCAAAGTAGTACAGCCAACCACTTACTGTCCACCTCACAGGAACATCAAACCCAGTATGTCCAAAGAAAACATCATCACCTCTGTAAAACCCATAAAAATATAAAATGATTTAAAGGTTCTGAACTAAAACTGTTTATGAGAAATAATCCAAAAGTAAACTAGAACCCAAATGTCCATCAACTGATGAATGAAAAAACAAAATGTGGTATATTCATACAACAGAATATTATTTGGCAATAAAAAGGAAATGAAATACTGATTCATGCAACAACACAGATGAACTTCTAAAACATTTATGCTAAGTTAGAGATGCTAGTTACAAAGGATCATATATTATTTCATTTATATGAACTATCCAGAATAGGCAAATCTATAGAAAGAATATAGATTTGGGGAGAGGGGGTATAACAGGAGAAGTGGTTGGGAAGAAATGGGGAGTAACTGCTAAGAGGCATGGAGTTTTTTTGGGGGGGTGTTGAAAAGGCTCTAAAATTATTTGTGGTGATGGCTGCACAACTTTGTGAATATACTAAAAACCAATGAACTGTACATGCATATTGTATATGGGTAAGTATGTGAATTAAATTCTAATAAAGATATTTAAAAAACTAAACTAGAAAGTTAAATAATTAAAAAAAACCACAGCAGGAAAAAAGGGATGCTATGAACATGAGGGTATAGGAAATAACCAAATACACTGTTTCCCTATAAATTTGCTTAAGTTGATAATTCTCTACCTATATACGTATACCCCTGCACATTTTATAGTCTTTCCCACCCTGATTTGAAGAACTCCCTTACTATAACTTGTCTGAGTAGATTTAATACCAAGCCTAAGTCAGAAAAAGCTACAATGCAATAAGTGGAAAGTTGGGAATTCTCTAAAATCAAATCTAAGTTTAAAAAAAAAAAATAAAGGTAGCTGGAAGGAAAAAGCAACTTCACAGCAATGAAGCACCGGAGACTAAATCTATTATTGGGAAGACACAGACAAACACACCTCTCCTCTGGGTAGATAGTTCTGTCTGGTAATCAACCCATCAAATCTGTAATACTAGAGACATAGGCAAAAGGACCCCTGAAAATGTTCTCCCTGAAAGTAAGTTAGCTGATCGGGGAAGACCACATTCAACTGAGCCAAGTTTACTATGAGTTGGAAATGACTTGAAGGCAAGAGGTTTGGTTTGGTTTTTCACACGGTAATTTATAATCTAGCGATATAAATGTAATAAAAGCAAACAGCAAGAAGTCAAGGGAGACTAAATTTAATTACAAAAGAGTCAGCAACCATTTATTAAGAATAGTAATAAAATAAACTTTTCAAAGTGAAAAATGGAACCAATCCTTTTGACTGAAAAAATAGAAAATTATATCAAAAACTTCAGAAATATACCATGCTTTGACCCAGTAATTCTACTTTTAAAAATTTACTCTAATAATCAAGCGTATTTGAAAAGATTTATTTTCAGGAATATTTAAAGTGCTTGTTAAATGATAAACAACTGAAAAAAACCAATAACTGGACACTGATTAAATTACAGTAAACCTATAATAGAACACTTTGGAGCCATTAAAAATTATACAGAAGAATATCTAATAAGAAAAAATATTCATAGTATATTAAAATATATATACATATACACAGCATGATCCCAATTTTGTATAAACAATTTTTTTTAAAAACTAAATTACAAGCAGTGAAATCTGTTTTGTATCTTTCACATTTTCTAGAAATAAATACATATTACCTTTAAACCATAATTACTAAAGCAAAACAATTTTATGTCAAATTTGGAACCCTGATAAGATTCCCCGACTATGAAAATGTGGCTAATGTTCACATTGAAGCAACGTCTAGAAGTGGGCTAATAATGAGAAGTAAGCAGCAAGACCTAGAAGGAGGGAAATAACTTTTTTTTTTTTTCCTGGTCACTTACAAAGTCTAATAGAAAATTGCTACTTACCATTTGGATGAAACATTTTGGATAAAAACCTAACAGTTGGTGGTTTATTTGGATATTCTTCAGAAAATTCTATTACTAGTTTAAAAGTACCTAGGTAGAAAACAAACCAAAATGATTATGGTAAAGTCAGGCACAACTTTTCAACCTCTTTATCAATGAATTCCCAACCCCATACTGGTTTTTGTATAACCACACAAAATGAATATTTATTTTGGTTTAGCACATAAAACATACTAAATATACTTCTATGAAGACATAACACACAGCACTGGCAAGCACTTTCATGTGTTACTGGTGGGAATGTTAACTGTCATATTTTTGGAAGGCAATTTGGCCCTAGTGACCAAGATTTAAAATGTACATTTGGGGAACTAAAAAAAAAAAAAAACAAACAAACTCACTGCTGTCCTTATAGGACAGAGTAGAACTTGCCCCATGGGGTTTTCAAGGAGCAGCTGGTAGATTCGAACTGCTGACCTTTTGGTTAGCAGCCCAGCTCTTAACCACCGTGCCACCAGGGCTCCTTTGTGGAACTACAAATAGTTTATTGTAACTTAGAAGTGGGGGGTGTGAAACGGTTTTGGGGGGGGGGCTGACTAAACATGTGACAAAGGACCCAGATTAGAGGCATGGGGGCTAATATAAAGATAGTACCTCCACTGGTAATATATTTGGTACACAACCTCTACCTCTTTTTTTTTTTTGCTGTTGGGAATTTGGGACTACGGAGGCCAAAGACAAACAAAGACAATTTCTATTTCATATTTTGGTATAATAGAGATGGTCTGAAATGTATAGTTAATAAAGATGGTCTTGTGCTTAATTATATATTTTTAATGTTTGTATTTTAAAATTTTATTATAAAATAGCTGCATATTATAAAAATTTTGGGCAAAACACAAATAGAGAACAGCTATTCTAAAGCTTTTTGGTTTCAGGATCCCTTTACACTCTCACACCATGGCCAGGCTTCCAACGTGGTTACTGAAAGTGATGTTGGAAAAAGATACATGCAGTAGTATATACCATTTTATGGTATTTCCACCAGACATACAACAGACAGAAATAACCTCAAAAGCACCACAAATAGACTGCAGAAGCCCCAAGAGTATGGCCCCTGGACACCCTTTTAGCTCTGTGGTGAAGTCACTCCGGAGGTTCACTGTTCAGCTGGGTACTGGACAGCCCCATAAAACAAAACAGGACTAATGAGGCACAGCAGTCCAGGGACAAGGACTAGAAAGCAGGAGAGGACAAGAAAGCTGGTGACAGGGAACCCAAGGTTGAGAAGGGACAGTGTTGACATGTCGTGGGGTTGTTAACCATTGTCATAGGGCAATATGTGTACTAACTGTTTAATGAGAAACTATTTGTTCTGTAAACCTTCATC